GCCGGTATGCCATCCGACAGACGCAGCCACAGTCGAGAGGGCGTTGAGACAGACAGCAACATTTCCAAAGCTTCACTTCGTTCTATTTCCTTCTTCCTTATCCACAAATAGTAAGAATTCAGGTCACCTGCTCTCCCTAGGCCTATCTGGGGCGAGGGCTCTGTGTCAGCTAGGGGCAAATATCGTGCCAGTTCCTGTGCAAGCCCCTTGTCGTACTGGCTTTCCTCTATAAGGTCCAAGAAGAAGTTTATATCATAGAACTTGACATGCTGTCTACTCAGATAGGCAATTTCTTGAAGCCTATGATATCCAACAGATTCTTCCTTGTTTCGGAAGAGAATACTTACCACAAATGTTAAGATGGTCCTCTGGTCCATTTTCAAGTCCCTTAGGAGATTGGTGATCTTGATTTTGTCATTTCTCAGGCGTTCGCAAACATGGTACGCGATGAGAAAGTTTGCGTGGGAGTTGTGTATGAACTGGAAACTTAGATGTTCTCCTCGCGCCGACATAAAGCTGTCGCACTGCATGAGACTTGAGAGAGCTTCAAGTGGCATGAGCTCAAGGCTCATTGCTTTAGCCTCCATGAGACTAATTACTTCACTCGTCTTGCTCAGTGAACCAAGCCCTATTTTCCCTTGGTCATAAGCACATTGAGCTACTATACTAAGCCACTTTTGACCTTGTTCTGGTAAGCCTCCAGAAAAAATTCTGATACCATTAATGTGGCACAATTTCCTTAGCAAGAAATCTGTCAAGTTATAAAATATTTGTCCACGTGTTGAAAAAGTAGCGTTTCCCTGTTCTAGCCACAGCCATGTAGACCAACACAAAAGCTGTGGGATTTTCACAAGTTCTTGGTGTGGCGAAAGTATTTTGAGGAGCTCGTCTGGGTTTTCTGGTCTATTTTCTACAGCAAGAAGCTTACTGACACAGGATTTCGCACTGGACCAATTAAATCCGTGTGCTGTGAAAATCAGGGGGAGGTCCTCGCACAGGTTGCAGATGGCAGGAGTCGAATGCGGCCGCGTCGTGACCAGAAATGTAGCTTTAGGAAATTTTCTTTGCAAGTCTTTGAAAGCCTGTTCGAAAGCCTTCAGTCTCTCGTCAAAACAATCAATCAGAAACATCACACTGTCGGTCGCTCGCTTCAGAATATCCACAATGGACCCGATATTTGTGGAGGAGGATGTCAACGAGAAAACCTCTCTGATGATATCACCATATGTGAAGGTTCCAACAGACACGGCATTGCAATCCAGGAAAATAAGGTAGTCAATCTTAGAAAGTGTGGGCACAGGGCATGGCTGATCCCTCTTCCACACTGAGGCAAGGTAACGGAGGAGCGACGTCTTGCCGGTTCCGGACTCGCCTTGCAAGACCATCACACGACAGGTTTCTCTCATTTCCAACAAGTCATTGGTTTCAATAAAGGTCACGAGCCTGTAAAGGGGGAGGATGAAGTGAATGCGATGCTACGTCAACAGTCATTTACTAATTAATGAAAAAAGTTTTTTTTCAGGTGTGCAACAAGATAAAACCTCTAGTTTGCAAATCCTACATTGCAAAACCCATCTGCACAAAGGAAAGACGGAGTAAAAGACGTACCCATTTTGGTTAATGGAGAACTTGGTGGTGATGTAAACTTGGAGGGCATCGTGCTTGAAATGGTAGGACCGGCCAGCCCACACAAGGGGCATAAGCGTCGTTTTCCGACCGCTTCGATAGAGTTCCCGAAGTTCACTCTGAAGGGTCTCTGGAATATGTCATGACAACGTTTGCATGACTCTGGTTAGTAATCTGCAGTGACTTCTGTTAGCAATTTAGTGTTTCGTTAGTAACTAGAGTTTTCTCTCAGTAATCTTCTGGTTAGTAATGTACAGTGAGTTCTGTTAGCAATTTGGTGTTTCGTTAGTAACTAGACTTTTCTCTCAGTAATCTTGAGGTTACGATAATCTTAAAAGATCATCGTAACCTCAAGATTCCCAAGAGAAAATTCTCAGGCATACATGTAGGATACATACTTTGCAACACTACTTTCTCGTCGTCGTAGATTTCTCCTTGCTTTATCGACTGCAAATTTTCCTTGAAGATGGGCAACCAAACCTCGAAACCTCCTTCCTTTAGGATGACCGTTATAGCCTTCACCAGTTCGACCCACTTCTCTTCCAGATTCGCCTTCGAGTACACTTCCTCCGTCCAGTGGGCCTCCATGTTCCGCAACTCCTTCAGCTTTTCAATGTTCCCTGCGTAGATGCAAAACTCGAGGTTGCGCTCACTATACAAGGTGAAACATATACATAAATGCACATGAATATATAAATATATAATGTATATAATTATATTTGTATATTTATATATATATATATATATATATATATATATATATACTATATATATATATATATATATATATATATATATATATATATATATATATATATATATATATATATATATATATATATATAATATATATATATAATATATATATATATAT